TAGCCTCCCGCGAGCGGCTGGGCCGTCCCCCCCCTCCCAGAAGCACCGCGCCCCTCAAGCCTGAAAAGGGCAGCTGGGGGCGGGGGGAAGAAGACACCCCCCCTCGCTCGCCCCTCTTCCCCTCGCCCTCGCTTCCCCCCCCTTCTCTCCTCACCATGGTACAGATGGAAGCGATTTTGGAGACTGTCATTAGGATTTCCATCCGCGCAGCGCCATCTTCTATTGAGCCAATCACAACGTCAAAGCCTCGCCGGGGGAGTCCCACGCGCGGGGGGGAGTGGGTGGGTGGAGAAGAAGAGAAACCAGAGTCGTGGAGGGGGGAAAGGAAGGCGGCGGCGGCAGCAGGAGCAACCAGGCGCCGCCTCCAGCGAGCTCCTCGGAGCGGAACCTACTGAGGGCTCCGCCCGCCTGACGAAACGCTCCGTCGAGGCTCCCGAGAGCCGACGGGCGAGAGGCACGCGTCGCGTTCGAACCCCTCCCTCCCGAAACCGACCATTTCTTGGGGGGGGGGCTCCGTCCCCTCACCCCACTTTTTGCGTCTCAAACCGTCTCTGCTCGCGAGCTCTCTCTCTCACGCGCTCGCGTGCAATAAAACTCCGCGAGGTGTACCTTCTTCCGCCACACACCAAACATGCGCGGGCGACAGCGAGCGCGCGCGCAACTTCTCACGGCGGCTGGCCTGACTTAGACCTTTCCCCAGGTCCTAGCGCCGAAGGTTTCACTGTGGTTATAGAATCTAAAACACAAAACATGAAAGGAAACTGAATTGGGAGGGAGGAGGAAAATGCAAATCCAGTTACTCCATTTTTTGTTGTGGCTGGGGCTGTATCTGTTGTTTTCTCTAGAAAGCCATGCTTTCTAGAGAAAAGTAATGGATATTGATTGAGTTCATTGCAGCAGTGCTTCCAGGGGACATAAATGGAGAGAAGGGTCCCTTCTGGTGTAGTTTTGCTGGACTTTACAGATGTTTACCTATCAGTAAATCCCACTAAAACGTAAGGCCCACAGGGTATAGTGTGGGCCTTACGTTTTAGTAAGGTCTTGGTCACATGACCATGTGTCCCACTGTTTTGGCTGCTGAAGGGATGGGTTAGTTTACTCTTTCTTCTGCCAATCTCATGATGTAATCACAGGAATGAACCTGCCTGTTCTTTTCTGAGCCCCTGTAAGGGGCTTCTGCTTTTTTGAGGCTCATTCTGGTTTGGTCTGTTTTGAGTATGTGTGATCAATGTGAACGGACCAAAAGCGGAGTCTTCTTGTTGTCAAGGCTCCTTCCATAGAATTTCTGATATGGTGAAGTGGCTTAACAATGGCTTAATAAGTGAGTGACTTCAGGATTTTGGCAAATTGAACACTTGCTCTGCTCCTCAACAGAGGGGCGGGGGAAGTAATTTTTTTAATCTATTGGTGAGGTGTACATGGATGTGTGTACAAAGCTGCGGGTCACATGCAGTTACTACTACATGGAATACTTGGTGACAACTGTAACATACAGCACTGATGGTACCTGTCTGTCATGGGTTTGGAGGGAAAGTTCCATCCTATGGGGAGTGGAAGGCGGGACATCAGGGGGAGGAGCTGTACTGTATATATATGTGGAGCTGATGTGAAGAAGCAGGAGTGGGAGTCTGTGTGTCAGACTGAGTACAACTGTGTGTCAGTTGGTACCTACCTGATAGGTTCAGGTTTCTTTATAGGTAGCCAGAACTGATAATGTGTGATCAATGTGAACGGACCAAAAGCGGAGTCTTCTTGTTGTCAAAGCTCCTTCCATAGAATTTCTGATATGGTGAAGTGGCTTAACAATGGCTTAATAAGTGAGTGACTTCAGGATTTTGGCAAATTGAACACTTGCTCTGCTCCTCAACAGAGGGGCGGGGGAAGTAATTTTTTTAATCTATTGGTGAGGTGTACATGGATGTGTGTACAAAGCTGCGGGTCACATGCAGTTACTACTACACGGAATACTTGGTTACAACTCTTCCTTTCCCAGGCATCATGGATTTGCTTCCTTGATTGAGACTATGCCACGTTACAGTATCTTATTTACTTGATCTTTTTATTTACCCTGTTTGTTATTTAAATAAACCTTGTCCTTTTGTTTGTTAAAAATCCATTCCTGGTCTGTGTGACTTCTTATAGGGAATGGTTGGTGGCAGCTTAGTTAAAGGGTGGTATACTCCGGTAGGTCTGGGGTTGTCACAACAACTCTTCCTTTCCCAGGCGTCATACAAAGTCATGGATTTGCTTCCTTTTTTTTCTTGCATGAGATTAAGAATAGGGATCAAGTCTGCTTTTTTTCAGAATGTCTAATCCAGTTTCCAATGTCCATTTAGCAGAACGTCTTTTACGTTTCTGGGGCCAGTCTTCTGGTCATGGCCTCCTGTTGGGCGTCTCCGCTATTCACTCAGGAAGAATTCTTCCCTCACAGCCTGGCCTCAGGCCACTCCTACACCTTTCCTTGTAGCAACTGACACAAAAATTATTCTTCAGTGGCCCATAGCCTGGAATCGTAGGCGGCATTTGTCCACTCACTGTCTAAATACTTTCCTTGGCACACCCAGAGTTTTTTCTTTGACAAGAACAGGTCCCTTAGTATGCCCCAGAAGTTCTCCTTAAAGTCTTCCTTCGTCCTCTCTCTTCACAACAAACTCAGCAAAATTGAGATTACTTCGCCTGGTCAGTTACATACAACCTGAGCAGTTCTATCTCTCATGCTGTCCAGACAGCAAGAAAGGTTTCAACTGGTTGTGATAATTTTGGACTCCTTTACAAATGAGCTGGAGACCTAGTTTATAAGTAAACCTCTTTTTCTCTTCCAGCCACCCAATGACACATTTTACAGCCACTTTAACTGAGATTAAGGAACAAAAATAATTCATTTCACATGTTCCTTATTGAACTGAATGTACCCCATCCTTTAAATAAACATTTAAGTCTCAAATTAGCATCTTTTCTGTGCTGTGTAGAATATTTTGTGCATCATGACCTAGGAGAGGTCCCAAAGTGCTGCAATTATGTGTTGAGATTCATTGCCAGTTTAACAGTCTGATATACCGCTTCCTCTTTCTATGAAAACATCATATAAAATAACAAGAGTTGTGGTGAGCAATGTGGCAGGATAAGGTTAGAGGCCAATGGTGTGCATAAGATAGAGTGTGCAGAAAGTGCCCCAGTTGCTCCCTGCCCCATAGCTTTGCAGTGTTGCCATATTACATAGCTTTGGCAGGATTGTACCATGTAAGTATAAGGGGCTCTCTTAGTCCTAGTCCTAGGCCTGTGAGGTCTGTAAAAAGAGGTCCAGAGTGAATTATCCATAATTTGCTGCTCTGCTTTTAGTGCACTTGTGCTCCAGCTTTAGAACACCCACTCTGTTGGGTGGTAGGTATAGCTCTCACAGGATGACTATGAAAATATGACAAAGCAAAACATTTCTCAAACTCCTAATTTCTCAGACATAGCCTGTGCAAGCTGTAGTTTAATAAGTATATCAGCCGCCTAGAGTGGTCGTATTGACCAGATAGGCGGGGTACAAATAGAATAAATAAATAAATAAGCCACATCCTGATCTGTGGCATTTTTCACTGTTGGTATCTTTGGGGAGTTGACTGCAAATAGTAAATTAAAGATAACACAGCAATTAAGAAAATGACTACACAGGCATATAGCTTGCTGTGGTCTGCTGCACTGATGAGCTAGTTTGCTTCTAAAGACTGGTATCAGATTATGCCTTTGCTGGAGTGTACCTGCCTGTCCCCAGAGTGATTCTATCTGCACCTTTCAGGCCCATCAGGGGCTTCTATTGTTTTGGCTCAGATAGGATCATTCTCTTTTGGTTCATTCCCAGTATGTGTGATCACTGGGAACAAGCCAAAGGTCTCCCTTTTCTCATTTGCCAATATCATGAAGTGGCTTACTAAAAGAGCCACTTCAGGATATTGGCTAATTAAACACTTCATCTGCTCCTTGGCAGAGGGGCAGAGGAAGCACATTGCTTTTAATACTGCATGCCATTTGGGCAGAAAAAATGTGCTGCACCACTTACAAAAAAATTAAATAAAATATTTCATCTTTATTGTCTTAAAGGCCCCACAGCTGAATTCACCACGGAACAAGCCAAATGTCTCCCTTTTCTTATTTGCCAATATCATGAAGTGGCTTAATAAAAGAGCCACTTCAGGATATTGGCTAATTAAACACTTCTGCTGCTTGGCAGAGGGGCAGAGGAAGCACATTGCTTTTAATACTGTATGCCATTTGGGCAGAAAAAATGTGCTGCACCACTTAAAAAAATAAATAAATTCATCTTTATTGTCTTAAAGGGCCCACAGCTGAATTCACCACCTTTATGACAAGAGGGCATGCCATTTGGGCAGAAAAAATGTGCTGCACCACTTACAAAAAAATTAAATAAAATATTTCATCTTTATTGTCTTAAAGGCCCCACAGCTGAATTCACCACTTTTATGACAAGAGGAAAAAATGTATTAAGATGTGTTTTAGATGTATATGAGGCTGCGGGTAGGCTCTCAACCAAACCTTTAAGAGCCATATATCAGGTATGTGTATTGGGCAGAAAAAATGTGCTGCACCACTTACAAAAAAATTAAATAAAATATTTCATCTTTATTGTCTTAAAGGCCCCACAGCTGAATTCACCACTTTTATGACAAGAGGAAAAAATGTATTAAGATGTGTTTTAGATGTATATGAGGCTGCGGGTAGGCTCTCAACCAAACCTTTAAGAGCCATATATCAGGTATGTGTATACTCTGGTTTCTCTTCAGATTGTATAAATATTTTACTAAAGATTTCCGTGGAGAGGAGCATTACAATGAGGATTTCCATAGAGAGGAACATTTACCAATTTTTTAGTAACTTGTACATGATTGTTTTTTTTACTAAAGATTTCCGTGGAGAGGAACATTTACCAATTTTTTGGTAACTATTGTTTAAAATATTTCTACACTTACTATTTTTAGTTTTAAAATATTGTTTCTCTTTAATACATGATGATGATGATGACGACGACGATCATGAAAATCTATGATATAAAATGATGATGATGATGATGATGATGACGACGCCGATGACGCCAATGATCACGAAAATCTATGATACAGTATAACCATATAGGTAAAATCTGTGATTCTGGTCACCGCCTTCGCAAAAGGATCTTGTAGCACTAGAAAAGATGCAGGAAAAGGCAACCAACTTGATTGAGGGACTGGAGCAATTCTTCTATAAGAAAATACTATAACAATGAGGCTCTTCAGCAAGCAATAATGGGAATAAAGGGAGATGTGATATATGTCAAATTTATAAAATTATGCCTTCTGAAGTGGAAGAGGATCATACTATTAGAATCTGACTGCAGTTTTGTGTAGGTTATTGCTAGCATGATAAAAGTTTACAGATAACCCCTCACAGGCGAAGTCAGTGGTTGCAATGAATTTCTTGCTCAACAACTAATCCTTGTAAATTTCCAGTGATTCTGGAAGATGACATGCCAAGGAAACCATTCTTTACATCACAGAGTGATACAAATGATTCTCTGTTGAACATGTTTCCTCAGTACACCTATTTCACTTCTAAAGGAGCACACCTTCTGCATACAAATTGTTCATCTGCCCTACTGAGATCCAGAGGCAAAGAGAATTCTTTGTGTCAGGAAAACTCTTTCTCCCACAAAAGGTATACATCGTAGTGGTTGGGGACTACAGGTCGGTCAAATTTGATATTGGCAGGGATTCTCCAGTGCCTCAGATAGGTTTCTCTGCTGCCCCACAATTTTAAGGCCTGCAACCACTTAATCAGAGATGCAAGGGATTAGAGCTGGGATCTTTGGCATTTAAAGCCTGTGCTGTCTCACTGACTTCTGACCCAGGGTCATCCTCTGATACTGGACAGCAGGAGATACAGGACAGATTCAGTTCTTTATATGGCTGTGAAGGAGTGGAGAGAAAGAGTGAGCCGTCTGCGAAGAACAAAATGGAGGAAAAGAGAAAAGAAGAAACATTAGGATGTAGTAGGGAGCAGTGACAGAACGGAGGGATTTTTGACAGTTGAGGAAAAGGCGGGAAAGTCAGAGGTCTATCTAGCAGAGGGGGAGGGGGAGGAGCAAGAGGTGTCGGTGTGGGAGGAGGATAAAAGCGAGGAGGGGGTGGTTTGGTTTAGTACAGTTGTGGAAGAGTA